ATTTAAAATAGACTTGTCCTTTAAAAAGTGAACATATCTTTTAAAAACTGGACAGGCCCTTTAGAAAATGGGCATGACCTCTAAATAAAAAAATGGACATGTTTAAACAAAAAATGGACATATCCCCTAGTAAATGAACATGTCCTTTAAAAAATGGATATGTCCTAATATGAAAGTAGACCACGGTACAATTATTCCCAAATGACTGCACTGTGACGTTCTATTATTCTACGTAGGTGAATGTCCATAGATTAATAACATGACTAATAATCTATACTGTATACTGTATACGCATAAGTAAAGAGTTATTAGTCTATTATTTCTTAAGTGCTAATGCAAACCGCTAAACTAAATACTCATTAACAATTTGTCGTTAGGAAGCATTTGGATTTTGTCTAGTCTGTAGAGGTAATTAACTGAACAAATTTACTTTACATAGTTCTTGTTTAAAAAAAATGGACACGTCCTCATGTGAAATTCGGACATTGGATCATTCTTACCTGTGCGTGCGTGCGTGCGTGCGTGCGTGCGTGCGTGCGTGCGTGCGTGCGTGCGTGCGTGCGTGCGTGCGTGCGTGCGTGCGTGCGTGCGTGCGTGCGTGCGTGCGTGCGTGCGTGCGTGCGTGCGTGCGTGCGTGCGTGCGTGCGTGCGTGCGTGCGTGCGTGCGTGCGTGCGTGCGTGCGTGCGTGCGTGCGTGCGTGCGTGCGTGCGTGCGTGCGTGCGTGCGTGCGTGCGTGCGTGCGTGCGTGCGTGCGTGCGTGCGTGCGTGCGTGCGTGCGTGCGTGCGTGCGTGCGTGCGTGCGTGCGTGCGTGCGTGCGTGCGTGCGTGCGTGCGTGCGTGCGTGCGTGCGTGCGTGCGTGCGTGCGTGCGTGCGTGCGTGCGTGCGTGCGTGCGTGCGTGCGTGCGTGCGTGCGTGCGTGCGTGCGTGCGTGCGTGCGTGCGTGCGTGCGTGCGTGCGTGCGTGCGTGCGTGCGTGCGTGCGTGCGTGCGTGCGTGCGTGCGTGCGTGCGTGCGTGCGTGCGTGCGTGCGTGCGTGCGTGCGTGCGTGCGTGCGTGCGTGCGTGCGTGCGTGCGTGCGTGCGTGCGTGCGTGCGTGCGTGCGTGCGTGCGTGCGTGCGTGCGTGCGTGCGTGCGTGCGTGCGTGCGTGCGTGCGTGCGTGCGTGCGTGCGTGCGTGCGTGCGTGCGTGCGTGCGTGCGTGCGTGCGTGCGTGCGTGCGTGCGTGCGTGCGTGCGTGCGTGCGTGCGTGCGTGCGTGCGTGCGTGCGTGCGTGCGTGCGTGCGTGCGTGCGTGCGTGCGTGCGTGCGTGCGTGCGTGCGTGCGTGCGTGCGTGCGTGCGTGCGTGCGTGCGTGCGTGCGTGCGTGCGTGCGTGCGTGCGTGCGTGCGTGCGTGCGTGCGTGCGTGCGTGCGTGCGTGCGTGCGTGCGTGCGTGCGTGCGTGCGTGCGTGCGTGCGTGCGTGCGTGCGTGCGTGCGTGCGTGCGTGCGTGCGTGCGTGCGTGCGTGCGTGCGTGCGTGCGTGCGTGCGTGCGTGCGTGCGTGCGTGCGTGCGTGCGTGCGTGCGTGCGTGCGTGCGTGCGTGCGTGCGTGCGTGCGTGCGTGCGTGCGTGCGTGCGTGCGTGCGTGCGTGCGTGCGTGCGTGCGTGCGTGCGTGCGTGCGTGCGTGCGTGCGTGCGTGCGTGCGTGCGTGCGTGCGTGCGTGCGTGCGTGCGTGCGTGCGTGCGTGCGTGCGTGCGTGCGTGCGTGCGTGCGTGCGTGCGTGCGTGCGTGCGTGCGTGCGTGCGTGCGTGCGTGCGTGCGTGCGTGCGTGCGTGCGTGCGTGCGTGCGTGCGTGCGTGCGTGCGTGCGTGCGTGCGTGCGTGCGTGCGTGCGTGCGTGCGTGCGTGCGTGCGTGCGTGCGTGCGTGCGTGCGTGCGTGCGTGCGTGCGTGCGTGCGTGCGTGCGTGCGTGCGTGCGTGCGTGCGTGCGTGCGTGCGTGCGTGCGTGCGTGCGTGCGTGCGTGCGTGCGTGCGTGCGTGCGTGCGTGCGTGCGTGCGTGCGTGCGTGCGTGCGTGCGTGCGTGCGTGCGTGCGTGCGTGCGTGCGTGCGTGCGTGCGTGCGTGCGTGCGTGCGTGCGTGCGTGCGTGCGTGCGTGCGTGCGTGCGTGCGTGCGTGCGTGCGTGCGTGCGTGCGTGCGTGCGTGCGTGCGTGCGTGCGTGCGTGCGTGCGTGCGTGCGTGCGTGCGTGCGTGCGTGCGTGCGTGCGTGCGTGCGTGCGTGCGTGCGTGCGTGCGTGCGTGCGTGCGTGCGTGCGTGCGTGCGTGCGTGCGTGCGTGCGTGCGTGCGTGCGTGCGTGCGTGCGTGCGTGCGTGCGTGCGTGCGTGCGTGCGTGCGTGCGTGCGTGCGTGCGTGCGTGCGTGCGTGCGTGCGTGCGTGCGTGCGTGCGTGCGTGCGTGCGTGCGTGCGTGCGTGCGTGCGTGCGTGCGTGCGTGCGTGCGTGCGTGCGTGCGTGCGTGCGTGCGTGCGTGCGTGCGTGCGTGCGTGCGTGCGTGCGTGCGTGCGTGCGTGCGTGCGTGCGTGCGTGCGTGCGTGCGTGCGTGCGTGCGTGCGTGCGTGCGTGCGTGCGTGCGTGCGTGCGTGCGTGCGTGCGTGCGTGCGTGCGTGCGTGCGTGCGTGCGTGCGTGCGTGCGTGCGTGCGTGCGTGCGTGCGTGCGTGCGTGCGTGCGTGCGTGCGTGCGTGCGTGCGTGCGTGCGTGCGTGCGTGCGTGCGTGCGTGCGTGCGTGCGTGCGTGCGTGCGTGCGTGCGTGCGTGCGTGCGTGCGTGCGTGCGTGCGTGCGTGCGTGCGTGCGTGCGTGCGTGCGTGCGTGCGTGCGTGCGTGCGTGCGTGCGTGCGTGCGTGCGTGCGTGCGTGCGTGCGTGCGTGCGTGCGTGCGTGCGTGCGTGCGTGCGTGCGTGCGTGCGTGCGTGCGTGCGTGCGTGCGTGCGTGTGTGTGTCACACACACACACGCACTCGTACTGAGTAGTTTATTTTGTATTATTTCAAATATTATTTTCATTACTGTTCAATAACTTTAACTTAAATTCCGACCGCTCATATGTGCTTTCTAGTAGCCTGTTTAATTTTAATAACTAAAACCCAATAATTAAAGCCTGGTAACTGCCATTATCTGGAAATATTCGCACAGGGTAAATTTTAAGTCTAAATGTACAGCTGATACTAATAATTTCCTAGTGGTGTGGGAATGAGAGAAAGGAACTCAATACTTATACTACCAAATTATTTAGAGGGGTTAGTTGTCAAACACAACAGAAATTATAATAAAATAATAAAAAGGCCTCAGTGCCTTATCCTCTTACACAGGAACTACTTTATCATACATATACTAAGCAAATTCACCTTTGGGAAATAAAGAAAAGCAAGTCATCGTATCATACATCCTCATTTTATATTCTGGAACATGCATTAAAACTAGTGGGATAGATCAACACCTCATTCACACATCTCGGAATGAAGAAGCCGTCATGGCGGCCCCTTCTAGCGTCCTGACGGTTCTCTCACTTCTCGTGGATAGGTTGTAGGTATATATACAAATATAATATTTACGGTAAATATATATATATATATATATATATATATATATATATATAGATAGATAGATAGATAGATAGATAGATAGATAGATAGATAGATATTTTCAACAGCCATTCATTCTACTGCAGGACATAGGCCTCTCTCAATTCATTATTGAGAGGTTATATGGCAGTGTCACCTTGCCTGATTGAATGCCCTTCCTAATCAACCGCGGTTCGGCGCGTTAACACTGCGTTTGACTTCTCAGGGCGATATGTTGTTTTCTCGGACTCGAGTAAAGCAGTCAGAGGCGCAGGCGATGGGGAATTGAACCCGGGGCCACAAGGGTCGAGTCCAGTGCTCTAACCACTGGACTATCGCGGCATTATATATATATGCGTGTGTGGGTGTGCGTGCGTGCGTGCGTGCGTGTGTGTGGTGCGCGCACGAGTGTGTGTGTGTGCGCGCGTGTGTGTATGTGTGAGTGTGTGTGTGTGTCCGTGCGAACATGCGGTTTGTGTGTGTGTGTGTTTTAGTGTTTGTGCGTGTGTGTGCGTGTACGTGTGTGTATGTTATGTATGTGTGTGTATGTTTATGTATGTGTGTGTATTCGTGCGTGTGTGAGCGTGCGTGCGCATGTGTGTATGTGTATGTGAGTGTATGTAGTGCATCTATGTGCGTGTGTGTGTGTGTTGTGTATGTGTGCGTGCGTGCGTGCGCGTTTGTGTGTGTGTGTGTGTGTCCGTGTGTCTATGTGTGCGTGTGTTTTTGTGTGTGTTTTTCTGTGCGTGTGTGTGTGAGCGCGCGCGCTTGTGTGTATGTGAGTGTATTTGTTTGTGTGTGTATGTGTGTGCACGTGCGTTCGTGCATGCGCGTGCGTGTGTGTGTATGTTTGTGTATGTGTTTGTTTGTGGTTGTATATATATTTGTGTGTGTGTGTGTGTGTATGTGCATTTGTGTGTGAGTGTGTGTATTTGTGCGTGTGAGTGTGTGTGTATGTAGTTGTGTGTTTTGTGTGATATAGAGATACAGAACATAATTTCTGTATTCACACACATGTATATATATTTGCCTTCCTTTACGGTTTTAAGTATATTAACTCATAAGAGACCTATATAAACGCTGCTAGGTAACGCGTTATCTGGCAAGCATACAGCCTGAAATTTTCCATGCAATCACTAGGGCCAAATTAATGTCATCCACTGCCTTATCAGGCTGACCGAAGGGAAGTTCTGTTTGATCCGATAAGATATGACGTTATCAATGAGAGGATCTCGAGAAGCCAAGGCACATCGACGCAAGCCCATAAGAACATTGATAAGAAATACAATAATAATGCAGTATTAGAATAAGGGCGAAATTTGTCTAGTTGGTGAATTTCTTCCTACAACCAGCTGTTTCGGGTTGCTCCGAAATACGTAACGAAGACATCTATATTGTGAGTAATCGCTGTAGTCATACAACGCGACTTGGTGTGTTTGGTCCAGGAGCTGTGAAAATATACAGGACCTAAGATTCTGTTAACCAACAGGAGAAAAGAAAATGAATATAGTAATTCTTCTGTTTTCTTTGTGCATCTTCGAGTGTAATGGAGACAGTGAGTACATTTAATTACGTAATATCATTTCTTCACATTCTCTTTTGTTTCACCACGTTAACAAACTTTCATTATATGTATATAAGTATATATATATATATATATATATATATATATATAATATATATATATATATATATATATATATACATACATATATATATATATATATATATATATATATATATATATATATATATAATATATATACACACTTATACATACATATATATGCATATATACATATGCATACATATAGATAGATAAGATAGATAGACAAATAGATAGATAGAGAAATACACACATACACACACTCGCATACATTTTGCGCCCTACGCATTAATATTACTGAGGCTTAGAGTAACCATAAAATTAATACGTATAATATTAACAATGATTGCTATAATAATTTTAATAATATACAAATATATACATCATAATCCCAGCAATAACAAAATAATAATGATATACACGATAATCATAATTGGTAAAATTACAAATAAGATTATAGTGTCAATAATAATAATAATTGTTATTATTATTGTTATTATGATAATACTACTAATCATAATAATATAAATAATAATAATAACAAATAAAATAATAATAGTAATAACAGCAATAATGTCAATGATACGATGTGTAATCAGTGATGAGTATAAAAACAGAATACTAATACAAATAATGATAAAAATAATAATGATGATAATGATGACAGCAGTGTAGATGGCGATAATAATAATAGCATTAACACTACATATTATAGAAAAATGTGATAACGGCACTAATGACAACTATAATTATACCAATAACAATAACGATAGGAACAGGAAAGAGGAAAGTGAAAAAATAGTGATGTATCTAAAGTGTATAGTAATAATCATAAGAATGAAGAAACTATTGATAATAATGAAAATTCAACAATTCTAATGAAAAATGATGATATTATTTATGAATTTCAAAATAATCCTAATGTCCATAATCATGCTAATAGTGTGAACATAAATTTTTAAATAATAATGATCAGAGTAATATTTAAAGATGAAAATATAGGTATAAAGAAGGATATTGATATCAGTGATAACAATGATAATGATGATGATGATGATGATGAAGATGAAGATGAAAATGAAGATGATGATAATGAAGATGATGATGATGATGATGATAATAAAATATTACTAATATCAATACTCATGCTACTACTTAATAAAAACACCAAGAAAGAAAATCGATATCAGCAACGCTAATACCGTTGGTAATATGAACAATAATGATAACTAAAAATAATGGATATAATAATAAACGATGATTTAAATAAACTAACAATATTTGTAATGTTCATGAAAGCGTAAATGATAATACTACTGTTATTGTAGCTGTTATCATTATAACTATCATTACCACTAATATAATTTCGATATCAATACTGTCATTATTATTAAAACAAAGAGTACTACTTCTAATAATATTGAGACTAACAACAAAAATAGAAGTATTGATAATAATACTTTAAAAATAACAACAATGAGTGGGAGTGGTAGTATGATGATGATATTAACAACTATATTATTCTTAATAATTATAACAATACTACTCCTACTACTACTAATAATAGTAATAACATTTGATAATAAAAATGACAATAATAACAATAATAATGATAATAATAATAATAATAATGATAAAATGGAGTGATGAAATTTTAAAAAAATATTAATGATTCTGACTTTTTTTCGTTATTACTCTATTATCATTATCAATATCATTGTTACTATGATTATTATGGTAATTATCTTTATGATTGTTAATATATTATCGTTATTATTATTATTATTTGATAGTACAAAATTATTATTTTTACAGTTATCATAATCTTTATCATTATTATTGTTGTTATATTATCATTACAATGGCCAATAGTTTTTTTTGTTTGTTTTTTTGGTTGTTATAATTACATGATAATTCCTATATTATATATTATTTTGTTATTGCCCTTATTCTTACTACTATTTTAACTGATATTTTCATCATTATCATTTTGGGATTGTTGTTATAAATACTGCTTCTATTTTTACTGTTGTTTCATAATTCACATTTGTGTTATTGGTATCATTGTTAGAAGTAATAGTTTTAGTAACAAAAGAAACAGCGATAATGAATTAATTACTGATAATAATAACAATAATGATGATAATTATATTCATAATAATAATAATAATAATCAATGATAATGATAAAGATAATGATAGTGGCAGTGATAAGCATAATAAAGATTACCATAATAATAATAATATAGATAACAATAATAATAATAAATATATATGCAATAATAATAATAAACATAATTTTCCTCATCGTCATGATAGTAACGATGATAATGCTGATGATAAAAATGACACGAACAAACACAATATTAATATTAATATTATCAATAATGATAATAATAATGATGATAATAATAATAATAATGATAGTGATAATAATAATAATAATAATAATAATAATAATGATAGTGATAATAATAATAATGATAATCATAAGATAAGAATAATGACATAATAAGAATGACAATAATGATAATAATAGTAATAATAACAATAATAATAACAATAACAATAATAATAATACAGATAGAAACTACAGATAGATTATATAATATAATTATATAAACTACAATGGTTAAAAAATAGCCACTGCGGGGGAATTATATCAAAATAACAATTCATTTGTACTGACAATAGCTTTAAGTAGCAACAATATCCCTAATAATAAAATATGAATTCCAGATTTCTTTGGGAACACGGACACGAGAGAAAACTGGATAGCGAGACTTTACAAGGACAAACTTCAGAATTACAGCAAGGCCTCGAGACCTATCCTTGATCCAAGCCACAACACGACTGTCCACTTGGGAATGGCTTTGAACAAAGTTAATGTGGTAGGACTTGCCTTTTGTCATTTGGTCCACTCATAATGTTGCAAGATATTTATATTTAAGGTGTTCAATACAATCTGATCTAATATTTTTTTAGATGCTATACTAACAGCTAATTTATTTATTATTCTTTCTGCTTTGTAATGCACACACAAACACACACACACTAATGTCGAAGAATCTCTCGAAGAAACATCTCACGTTATATATGTGAACACGAATGATAAATTATAGTAAATCATGCCAGCCCCTACCTACCCCAAGAATCCCTACCCACTAAATAAACAAGCGGGAGCTACCGTTATCCAAGCGAGGCTCGTAAAATGCAATGGTGAACAAGGTTCATAAGCTGTTTACTCATTTCTTTTTAGGGACACGGCAATAGTCAATGTAAGCTCTGTTTCAGTTCTTTTTACGAAGATTATGTTTTGCTCTGATCAAAAAAATATTATTATGGCTCTTGCTTTGAGAATGCAGAGAGAGAATAAGGAAAATGGCATATAATCATAAAAACAATTATATGACAAGATATTGGAAATGCCTAATGGTCATCATTCTTTCTCTCTTGCCTCTGTCTGTCTCTGTCTTTCTCTCTCTGAAAAGAAAGCTCTATCAGTAATTGGTATAATTTATATAAATATAATAGAATATATATGATAAACATATGAGTGTATATGTATGTATATACATATATATGCATATATATACATACACACACACACACACACATATATATATATATATATATATATATATATATATATACACATATATATCATCATCATTCATCATTGGGGAGCTAACGCCGGTAGGAGCGCATAGCCGCCCGGCCCATCTCTAGTTCCTCACGACAGGTTTGATCGATCTGCCCAAGCCACGACCTTCTTGGTCGTCCCACAGGCCTCCTCCACCCAGGGTTGTCTCGGACAGAGACAACCTGATGGGCAGGATCATCCTGCGGGAATCGAGCCAAGTGGCCATATGGCCTGAGTTGGCGATCACGGATTGTGCAAGTAACAGGTCCTGTACCGGTCTCACGGTGTAGCTGTTGGTTGGACACATGGTCCCGCCAACTGTACCCCATGATCCGGCGCAAGGATCTGCTACAAAAGGCATCGAGACGAGACTCCAAAGCACAAAATAGTATCCAAGTTTCAGTGCCATATAGTAAAACTGGCAATATCAGGGCCTTGAAAACTCGTAGCTTGGTCCTTCTGCACAGGTACCAGCATCTCCAAATACTCTTGTCGAGAGATTTCATGACCCCTGCAGCCAGGCCAACCCGTCTACTGACTTCCTGGTCTGACAGCCCAGAGTCATGAACTGCACTACCGAGGTATATAAAACTCCTTGTGACTTTGATGTTTTCACCGCAAGGACGTACCGACTGCACAGGGTCTCCTAGTAGGCCCCCAAAATCCTGGATCTTGGTCTTGGTCCAGGAGACCTCTAGCCCCAGGGGCTTCGCTTCATTGCTAAATGCATCAAGAGCCGCCACTAGGGTTTCCAGAGATTCAGAAAGAATAGCAACATCATCAGCAAAGTCAAGGTCTGTAACCTTGATATTGCCCAGAGTTGCTCCACAGTGACTTTGGACAGTAGCTCTACCCAGTATCCAATCCATGCAAGTGTTGAAAAGTGTTAGTGTAAGTACACAGCCTTGCCTCACGCCTGAACTAACAGGAAAGAAGCTAGACAGGCCCCCACCACACTTTACAGCACTTTCAGTGCCTGTATACAGGTTTGCTATTAGCTCAAAAGTCCTTGTTGGAATATCTCTCAGTCTCTGGATCTCCCAGAGTGATTCGCGATACACCGTATCAAACGCCTTCTTGAGGTCGATGTAGGCTGCGAGCCGCCCACGTCTGAACTCACGACGGCGCTCTACAATGACTCGAAGCGCCAGGATGTGGTCTATTGTGGATTTACCAGGAGTGAACCCAGATTGCTCCGGTCTTTGGTGCCTCAGGAGGTGGTCTCTGATACGTCTCAGTAAGATATGGGCGAGTACCTTGCCTGGTACACAGCAGTGTAATGCCTCGGTGATTGCTGCAGTCCCACCGATCCCCTTTCCCCTTCCAGAGTAGATGACCACACCCCTCAGCAGGTCAGGGGGAATGGTACCGGTCTGCCAGATGGCAGACAGGACTGCAACGCACATGCACCCCATCAGGATCTGAGATTACCTGGCCACTTGCTGAGCAGACTGCCGTCGTCTGTGGGGAGGGCTTGGAGTTCAGCTTTCTCAGAGCTTGGTAGGCAGGACGAAGGTCATTTACTAGGAAATGGCTTTCGACCTCCTCTGCAAGATTACTGATAAACTATTCCTTATCCCTTCTCAACAGTGACCTAGTCCTGCGCGCCAGAGAACGGTGCAAATTACGATCCCCTGACAATCGAGCCGCACGACAAGCTTCTGTGGCTTCCAGTGTCTCCTGTGAGATGGAATTCTGTCTTGCTCTTGGGCGTACACCAATGGATTCCTGAGCTGCATCAAGCGTTTCACGCTTGAAGGAATCCCACATAACAACAGGGTCTGTCAGGCCCTCGAGTGCTGTGAGACGACCAGAGATAGCCTCAGCAAACCCCCGGGCACACTCATCCTCCCTCAGTCTGTCCAGATGAAACACCCTGGGGTGTTCATTTGGTCGACGGGGGGTTCTAAAGTGTACCCGGAGAGTAGCCACAACTAATCTATGATCAGTTCCACAGAACTCGGCGTCTCGATACACCCTGCAGTTCTGGAGGATCCTCCACCGAGTGCTGACGAGGATGTGGTCGATCTCCTTGGCCACCCTACCCATATCGCTGTACCAAGTCCAGCGATGCAGGTCAGAACGCTGATACCAGGAGCCAGAGATCCTCAATTTCTGAGACCTAGCGAAGTCACGGAAAAGGAGGCTATTCTCGCTGCCAGCATCAGCTCCTGAGCCATAGGGACCGACAGACATCTCGTAGCCAGCTCGATCACAGCCGGATACCGCATTGAAGTCGCCCAGAACAATACGAATATTTCGCCGAGGACAACTGTTTGCCACAGATGCAAGTTTGGCGTAAAACATCTCTTTCACCTCAAGTTTATATACATCCGTAGGAGTGTACACAGCAATAAGAGACATGAAGCCAAATGACAGCTTCAGTCTTAATACCATTATATGCTCATCGACTGGAGTGACCTCTACTACCGATTGTTGAAGTCGGTTGGAGATGGCTATGACTACTCCCTGAAGATGGTGGCCATCACTGCGGCCCGACCAGTAGTAAGTGTAGCCACCCACACTAATCGTGCCGCTGCCAGGTCTTCTCATCTCCGAGAGAGCAACCACCTCAACTCTCAGCTGCTTCAATTCCCTCGACAGCAGTGGTAACCGATCATCCTGTCGCAGGGAACGGACGTTCCAAGCCCCCACCCTGACAGCCCACCTGAGGTCTAGCCTCTGGCAGTCACTCCGGGTGGGCGCCACCTCTGCCACCCCTACCGACGCCGCCCCATACAGAGGTTGGCTGGCTGCCGGTCCCATAATCCGCCTGCAGGGCTCCCGGGGGCTTTCCCCCACAAGCATCACGCCAGGCTGGCGGCCGCTGGGACCCAGATGGGATGATGGGTAACCACCCCTCCCCGCACGAGTCCCAGCGGTCACCAACCAAGAGGGACCCACAGCCTGTCGTTCTTGCTGGGTGGGAGGGGCTTTAGCCCTCCCCCCAGCACCAACACCTATATGATTCGTTGCCAGTAGAGTTGTCTCGGAGGGGCAGACTGGCAAGGCCTGCCTCCCCACAGCCGCCCATTAACCCCAGGGGGCACGGGGGCAGGAGTTGGTACGTAGCCAGGGCGTGTCCACACACCGGTGGGCCATGACTCCGTACCTTTAGGGCCTCATGCTGCTCCAAGAGCCA